TTTACATTCATCTAAGTTGACCAACTGATTAATTACATGAGGAAATAATCTAACTATATAACCGAATGTTTATTTATTCAATACAATCAGTTCCTTTTTGTCAATTTATAGAATATCTACATCCGTTGAGAAGAAACACTGTTTTGATGCGAGCCACATACTTATATACGAGACATTCGAAAAATGTCTTGAGGTTGATTGCAATAGATTTGTACAGCGTAAATTGCTGGGATACGAACTCTTTGATCTCTGTTTTCGTTAATGTCGTTTTAAGTTTCTTTATTTAATAGCTGAACGATAGGCGCGTATTTATTTGCTATTTTGCGATATAATTATGACACGTGTATGGTAACGATTGCAAAGCATTCGAGTTTTTTTTTTCTTCTTTTTTCTTCTGTGGTTTTTATTTCAATCATGAGGCAGATACGTATACATTTAGTAGTTTTGCCCACCCCCCCCCCCCTCAACCCCCTCCGCGTCCCTTTGGCCCCTTCCCCCTTATACTATATAGGCATTTTAGTTTATTTTCTTCTTTAATTACCTTGTCGGTTTCTACGATTTCCTTTTTGAATAATTTAAAATGACATCCAGTCCAAGGTGTGCATTGTAATGTTTGGTGTCCCGCTGGGCACCTTGCCGGTGGTCTTGGTTGCTGGGTTGTGTTTAGGGTAGCGTTCCTTGAATGCCGCCTTTTCTTGTTTATCTTTTCATATTTTATAACCGTTGCTAGTCCGCTCCAGCGTCATACTTTGCCTTTTTATTGTGTTTTAATGCGTGCAGTTAAACAAGAACTGTAAATGTTATTGTCATGCAATTTTGATAAGCTAACGTCATATGTTGTAAGAGAAACATTATTGTCACCGTCGTAACTCTTGGCAGAACTTTAATGTCCCGTCATCGACCATGTTTTCAATGTGATGTAGCGAATCGACAAAATAGAGCGTAGGCTGCATTCGCTAATCTACGGACTGTACTAAATAATTAGTAAAATGTGTATCTATACAACTTTTGCACACAGAAAGTGTTAACCATGGGACAGCGCAGAATGATCCCTGGTAATTTTATCTCGGTTTGCCCAGTCCTGTTTTTGTTTGGGGTTCTCCTGGGCTCTACAGGCCGGTGGTCTTTTTTGTGGGGTTTGCATTAATTGAACGCTGCCTTTCCTTGTTGATCTTGTTTTTCATATTATACATGTATACCTATTTGTACATTTAAGACCTTTTTAAAATTATTCTACTTTTATTAATGACAAATAATGATCTATATATCACCCAAAGATGTAAGATAACGTTCGTGAGTCACATACATGTAGTTAAAGTGACATTATGCCCATCTAAAGGTAGATAGTGAGTGAACAGGTGAAAGTCAAAATATATTTTCAATTTGTTATAATTCCTTTTGCTTTAATGATTTACTTCGCATAAACAATAAATAACCACCGGATTCAAACGAAATTTAAGTAAATATCATTTAGAATTTACCTTTAACGTTCAATTTATAAAAAGGGTGGAGCAGTCTTTTTATATTTTTGGCAGATTTTAAATTTTATCCTAAACATTTTCCAATATAATCTGTTGGTCAAACATCATTTAAGCAGTCAATCTTTTGAAACATAAAGTCAATTCAGCTCAACTTGCCAATGAAAATATAAGCATAATATCACTTTAATTTTTATAAAATAAATGAAACTTATACATAATTAATACATTTGCAATATACTAAAATGAATGAATGATTAAATGATTCACAGTAAATTTTAAAAGTTCTTTTGAAAGAAATGAATGAGAAAAAAGGGAAAAAAGATTAATATGAAAACAATATTGTTAAGTAATTGATGAAGCGATTGATTGATTTATCAACTGATTGTTTGATAGCTATAATACGTAATTGATGGATTGCATGAATGTCTGTTTTCGTGATACATGTATATGTTTGTTTGTTTGCTCGTTTGATTATTTGATGATCTGTTTTCTTGCTTGATTACTTGATTTTCTGTTGTTATCTTGCTTGCTTGATGGATAGATATATTGATTGATTACTTGATTGATTTAGTGAATACAAGTCATTCAAGACGTTAAAGTAAACCAATTAAAAGACCGATAAGCAAACAAATTGATGAAAACAATAGATAACAAACATTCTCTTTTAACGTTTAAACAAGGGATACATACCAAACAAAAAGATGTTATCCTCATGCTTATATTTCTTCATAAAGATGATGAAAAGATTATTTTTAAAGCAAAACTTTTTTGAACGCCGTCCTTCATTGTTGATCTTGTTTTTCAAATTCTATATCAATTTGAAAATAGATCTAGTTCATTTAAGAAAGAAATGCTGTTTCCATTGTTATCGCTACCCAACAAATAACCTCGTTTGCCCGAAGGGACAGACGACGAACGGGCGGACGGAGGATAACATAAAGTATACTCGGGTAAAACATGCAAGGTACTTATATTTGATTTATTGATATGAAATATAAAAGTAAAACAAAAAACTACAAACTAGCTAAAGAACGCCCAAAACGCCAAATGTTAACCGTTGTAACCTCGGTAACATTTAGCCTTTTCGTGGATAATACTAGTAAGCATAATTCAACGAGTTAATATGAAAACGGAAATGAAGTCAGAAATGTCAGTTATTTAACCCTAATGTCATCAAAGTAGGATTTCTGCTATGCTATAAATATATATCTACATATCCAGGATGATGTATGGTTCTATCATGGCATTCAATTAAACGGTGCAGTGTCATTGTGAGATAAAGTAAAAGCACACGATCAGTCATCAAATAACGGATATCAATTTCAAAGAGTTTCTAAATGATTTCCGTTCCGCCTGGAATCATTAAGAACGAAGTACCAATTTAGTTAGGCTATTTCTAGTTGTTCTAAGAAATAGATTATATAGTTAGCTGTGACCTAGGTTCATACATTTAAGGCCAGGTTTTGTATATGTATATATTCTCTCTAAATTGACAAAGATAAATTGTTGATAAGGTTAATTCGTTACAAACATTAACAATTAAATATTTATATTAAAAAGTGTTGTTTAAAATAACATGCTCAATTCTTCAAACGGTTATGACCAATGTTTATCTTAGGCCATCTTGTTTTGTGTCTTGATGACCTCCTTGCCGGTGGTCCTTTGTTGTGTGCTTTTGTTAGGGATGCTTTCATTAAATGTCGCCATTCCCTGTTGATCTTTGCTGTCATTATATTTTATTATTACATGTGTGCAATATATGATGTAATTTTGATATTAATAAAGAAAAAAAATCTATATAAAATTACATTTTCTAAAATGCGCGGATACACAGGGGTTCTACATATTAAGTCTGTGATTATATGCGTGGACAGATACAGATGGGTTTTAAGAGGTAATGCCCCTCACACCCCACCTTTTACGTTCTAGTGTGTTGGTGGTTCGATGATACTGTATTTTTGGGGGTATGCGTTCATTGAATGCGGCCTTCCTCTTTTGATCTTTTTCTCATGCTTTTTGTTTTATATTTGATTGATCTTTTCCATTTTCCAGAAATAAATAAAGGTTTACTTTTTTAGAAATTGCAAACATATTTCTTTAAAAAAACTGTAGTACTTTTCTTTTATAATATTTGAATAATGGTTATTTTATAATGTTTAACATAATAATGTTTAAATAATGGTTTTAGAGCATGTTAGATGCTTGTTACCCGAGAGAATTAGCGTAGCAATATGTAAATAAAATGCTTAAATACTGTAACTGAACACAGCAGAAGAATGGTAATTGGCCAATTTATTACTTTTTGAAATTATAAAAATACACTGAAAAAAAAATTTGATATGTAAAATTAAATGCAATTATAGGACATTATGGGCCTTTTATGGAGTTGGGCAATAATTAAACTCAAAATATTCTGTTTTCTTAGAATGTTTATAATACAAGTATTTATATTAACAATATATCTATACATTAAGTAAACCCGTGCATTTAATTTTCATATTATATTCTGCTTATTTACATAGTAACAATATAATTGATACCTTAATATAAATTTGACAATGTTTTGTTTGTTTTCCGCCAATTTTACACAAACATTCTCGGCTATCGATCTTCTTGGATAAACTGCCAGTAGTTAGAAATAACCGACTGCGTGTCCTATTCAACAAATAAGTATTTAATCAGTGGAAAGAGACAATGAAACTCGGGACTCAAACGATCCGCCTGGGGATCGGATACATACCCCCTGGATTACATATCCGGTGCTTTAAAGCATATCAAGGCAAATGCACCGCAAACGGTATTAACGCTCGCCTGTTACAATTAATCAAAATTGAGAAATAGTGTAAGTTTAGGGTCATAACTCATAAAAAGGATTTCATAGTAATGTCATTCTCTTACAACTGTGCAGCGTCACAATAATCAATTATTTATTCAAGGTTTTATGTTGATAGTATCTTTTTGTATTAGGCAATGTCAACAAATATTCTAACCTAAAAATGGAAATGACTTCAAACATTTAACTGTCAGATTGATGCCAATTGCGTAACAACTACTGTGCATTGTCATTATTAACAAGAAATCCAAGTTTTATGTTGATTTTTTTAACAGTTCTAAAGTCATTCTATTTGATAGGCAATTTGGACAAACTTTATCAATTAAAAAGGGGCGTAACTCTAGAATATACTGTCAGAATGATACCCCTTGTCTGACAATGCACCTTGTCATGATAAACCAGCATTCAATGTTTTAGTGGCACGTTATTATCTTTGAATAATGGGCTATGCTAAAGTCGCCGACAACGAAGCAACAACGATGCAGTGACCATAAAAGCTCGACTTTTTTCTTCGAAACAGACTATCTAAATACATAACATGAGCAATGTCAAGAATTGAGAGACCAAAAAAGAAACATGCAAAAAAATCAAATAAATTTTGATTGCGTTAACAATTAACAACAAACCGAACAGAAATGCATTTATATCGTAATAGTTCAATTGCGTTCATTGATCGCAATCCTACCTTCATATTTTTTAAATAATTGTACAAAAAAATGAAACGCACTAATATTGTTGAAATGCGAACTAAATTCCGTATTAACTTGCCACTTAGTCTAGCTTGTTTCGATCTCGACATGCATCGTATTACCATAACTGTTAGTAGCCATTTCCAGAACATTTGAGAACTGTTTTCATCTCTTGTTGGAAAGCCTGATTGAAAAATGCATAAATAACTGGATTTGCAACATTATATATAAAGTATGTGTAAAACACAATCATGTTTGGTGGGATCAGTTTCGTTGCCATCAGCCACGCCGGCAAAAATGCTATTATAAAAACAATAGTCACAATGAAAAGAATCCCTGCGGTTTTTATATTTGCCAACCTGTGTTTTTCACGAACAGATTTTCTTGTGTCTTTTCGGCAAATGTTATATGTTGTCACTTTATAATTATCTGGTTGAGCAACTGATCCATTCTCAACGTCTGTTACTATGACGCGTTTATTGATATTCTTTGAAGTGTCACCTTTCTTTCCAAGGCTTATCAAAAACCGTCTGTTTCTTTTCGGACGTTTTTTGGGCTTTTTATTTGCGGTAATTGGTAAATTCAGGTCATTTGGTGTTATCTTTATTTTTGAAGTAACACCTTCAGCAGACGAACTGTTTTCACTTTCCTCCTTTATAACCTCATCCGAAAGTTTCTTGTTGCTAAATGATAAACTTTTGCTGCTTTCTTTTCTTATCATGCAATCACCTTCTGTCTGTATTTCTGCATTACTATGTCCATGTGTTGACGTTAGGCATGTCGCAGTTGACATAGGCTCCAGTGAGGAGTCTGATCCCGTTAGCCTACTCCCTCGTTTCTGATTGTTTAGATTTGAATTACAAGGAACCATTTGTACTTGTTCAGGTGGATTATCTTGTCGAGGAAACATGCAGGTTAGCAAGGCAGATTTCTTTCCATTTGAGTATTTATAACTTAAGGAAGATTGCAACTTCTTAGATCTCCTCACTAGTATCGATCTGTATATGAGAGCGTATAAGATAAATACTATTATAAAGGCAATCAAGAATAAGGAGGCGTAAAATGTCTGGTAAACTCTCCGGAATTCTTTACTGAGTATAATTTCATTTGGATAACAAAATCCTGTGAAAACAAAATCCGTTTGACTATGAGGTGATCTTGCGGTTTGATTAATTTCGCCAATGACATCGCTAACTAAGTATTTTGAGATCGAACTTTTGCACTTGATCAAACGTTCAGCAGAGCAATTGTAAAACTTGTGTGGGTTGTTCGTTAAATGTTTCTTTGGTTCGTTTGAATTTGAATAATTGGCTTCAAAGGAGATGTTCACTTGTTCAAATGTAACATTTTTCAAAACTGTCGGATTTCTGTGGTACACACCATATGCGAGGCTTGTGATAAGTCCCAGCGATAATGAGAAAATCAAAAGAGACAAAATAATCCGCTTCGCGAATTTTAAATCAAGGAACTTCATCCAAGGCCGGCAAATGCAGAAGTATCTGTCAAAAGCTATGGCAACCATTATAAAGGCGCTAAATGGCATGTGCGAAGTTATAAAAAATTGATATACTTTGCACATAACATCGCTGTTGATTCGTTTATACATAAATTCGACAACTATTGTAAACGGAATAAGAAATAGACACGTCACAAAATCGATGGATGCTAGTGCAAGAATAAAGATGGTTGACGTATTCTTGTCCTTTTTCCGTGAAAACACATATAAAACAAACGCATTGCCAGTTGTTCCAATGACACTGAAGCAAGAAAGCATGCAGGTGATGACAATGATTGAGGGAAAATCTTTGTCATTTTCAAAAAGATGTTCGCCATTTTTCGTCTCGTTATGCATGACTACTTCCTCTAGCATTTCTGAAATAGAAAAAGATAAATCGTAGGTAATTCATAGAAATAAATACAAAATGTTTTATTGAAGAAGAAAAGAGTTGCATTTTACTGAACTTGTATGTTATTCGTAACACAGGTAAGGAAGGCTTTTAAAGTAAAATACAATGTATAAATGAATGTTGATTACAACAGCTTTGCAAAAGAGGCCATGCACTCAGTAACATTCTTTCCCGTTTCCAAATATCACGTAATGCACATCCTGAATGGGAACCAGTCGGCACGTCCATACAATGTACCGTTTTGTAACTTACATAATATGGGTGTTTCTTTCCGGTACATCGTATAAGCGCTTCATGATTTGCGTGTATTGTAAGAAATAGTGAAAAACCGAATCCCTAAAGAAAGCCCAACACGGCAAAATTGTAAAATGTTGCAGGCTCGCTTTGATTGAGTCTGTTCATAGATATCTACCATGTCTACAGGCATATGATAAAGCAAGTACATTTGCACTTTGTATTTGAATCAACACGAATTGTCGATAAAAACAGTGTTTAAAAATGCTGTTTAAATAGGTAATAATTTATATGCAAAGTTGAAACATGTTTTAAACCGTTATTTGGTCTTATAACTAAGTACGTAAAATAGCTTTGTTTGAAAATGCGTGATTAGATATATGTGAAATCTCCTTTCGAAAAAACAGCGTATATCCTTAAGATTTCTAGAAAATAATGATCAGTGTCCTAAAAGTATACTTTTGCTCCCTTTTAATAGATTTTTGGAATTGATATCCGGTATAATTTATTTAGTGAACATTGAAAATTCCTCATTAACTAATATCAGGGAAATCCAGGAGAGCTGACAGCTTATTTGTCAAATGTAATAGGAAATATCGCTAGATGTGTCCGTTTATTCTAAACATCTTACATTGAAATCACGGGCGATGAGAGAGAAAAAAAGCTAATTTATGTTATATCTGGAAGTTTGTTTGGGTTTTAACGGCTCTATCAACCACATTACTTAGTCATATCGTGCACAAATTCAAACCATTTTTAATCCAGAATGTACTTTAACTTAAATAAATGAAGTATTATTCGTTACTAGGGTATAATTTTAGCTTTGGCTTTTCTAATTAACGAATAAAATACCGAAGTTATCCTAATGATAAAAGGAATTGTACTCATGTCGTTATATATAAAAGCTATTAATAAGGTTTTAAATTGTCAGTATTTTTCTCATTAAACGAATGAATGCCAAAGAATGGCCTAATTCAGAGATTTAGATAAAACAAAGTTTAATTCGTAATGATAAAACTAATAAATGTGTTGATATATTAACGTTTTTTTGTATCAAATGGAATATGATAGTGCAAAAACGGAAAGTATTTAACAACAGTCGTATGTTCGTAGAATTGAATTGTGTTGGAGCTCAGTTCTTTGCAATTTTGTTCATTTATTAATAAATTGTTTTCTTCTTTGTCAAAATACTTGCGCCTCAAACATGAGTTTCATGTCAAATTGAGTGTAAATAATAACATCTTTCTTAATATCTTACAAATTCCCGTGGGTATACTTTTTAAATGTTACTCATCCTAGTGCATAATCTAAGAACACTTTAAATTTTCATAGATTGAGTCTAAACATTCAAAAAAAAGCTACATCAATGTTAATCGTACTTTGATTACCCATATGATGTTATATGAAATAACGCCAGATCATTAGGTCTCTGACGGTAAACACAATTTGTTTTAACGAACTGTTTAGTACCATGATAATCTTTTGTAAAATGTAATACGTAAATATGTAATACGTAAAATAACGTTAAAATGAGGTTCAGAACAATTTGATCTGGTTTGAAATAGAGAAAAAAGAAAAGAAAAAAATGTTGCAGGTGCGGTACTTAACTTTCATGTAGAAATAAAACTGGTAATTTAATATAGATAAAATAAGAAACACAGCGTAATAAAATGAAACAAAATAATTGTAACCAAACACGATTTTCCCTTTATACACTCTGACTTTGACTCTATATTCTATATCTTGACATTTATTCAATTATGCTTTTCTGAAAACTCCAGAATGTTAAGAGTTTCATATTATCTAGGGATTACATGTGGCATTGATAGATAACTTCGTCTACATCTTACTACTATTAAATAGCAGATTAAACCTTTACTTATCATGCTTATGGGACAACAATATATTCTTCAGAAACTGTCTATATACTGTATAAAAATTTGATAAAATATAATTATCTCGCTTTAGAGCCGACAATTATCTGTTTATCGCAATGATACAAAAGCATTACACATTTCTTTCGTTCTCAACAAATAGTCTAGATTTGAAAACGGAACGGCAATAATTCATGGGAATTAAGTATTCAGTTCAGACCTTCTCATGTCTGGATGAAAAATAGACAAAAACAAAATCCGTAAGGAACGCCAAAAACGGCACAATTGAAATATGTGCAAGCAAGTTTTGACTGATTCTATTCATGGACGGTACTAGAACGTACAAGCTCCGTTCCACGTCCCAGACACCGGCTGAGCAGAATTCAATATTTTAACATTATGGTGAGATAAAAGTTAGCTAAATAATTAAGTAGGATATATCACATGGTTGACGTATAACGTGGGTTGCAACCTTTCAAGTATGTAATTTTTTTGAAAACGATACGCTTAAATTTAATGAAATTAAAAACAAAATTTTTAAAATCCTAGTTTAACAAGGTTTGATAACTCAATAGCAACAGCTTAAGCGGAATTGAATCTTTAACGCTGAGTGTTATAGAATCTATAATTATAGGACCAGAAAGAAGTATGTTATAATTGTACGGTTTGAAGCTTTTCATCATGCCTTGTCTTGATTTCAAAAAATGTTACTACGTTATCCACGATAATAAGTTTGTAATTACATATGGTCTTAAACTCTTAAAGTTTTTACAATTTAACTGTTTCAGAATTCGTAAATCATAAAGCAGTTGGGGAACTAAATGATTTACATTTGGTAATAAGATCACTTCGATCAATTGAAAATACTGACCTTAAAAGCAAATGAAGTAAACAGAGCCGTTAGATAAATGCGTGTAAGTCTGATAAATTACGTGAATACGATTCGGATCTGATTCAAATTTCATCAAAACAAATACGTAAAATGCCATTGACTCAGTATTATTCTAAAGAACCTCAAGTTTCAATTGATTACAGGTCATAACAATACTGAAATTACATATGTCAAGATTTCAGTGCAATTAAGAGACGTGATCTTTGCTTCACATGCGTCATAAATATGTAACAATACTTCTTGAATTTACAAAAAGTAAGTAGCTGCTGATAACTCACCATTATATAATGCCATATTGTTTTATGAAAATGAATTTCTTCAAGAAGAGTACCACATATTCGGGCAATGTACGCCCGAATGAGTTAGTTCGACTTACCAAAAATGATCTTTTAATAAGGGAAGAGAAGAATTTATAATATGTGCCTGATACTTGTGTTTTTTTATCATAATTGCTTTTAGATTTGACCAACCATTGTCACAAAACAAAGTTCTAAATAGAGTTATGAAGCTTTCTTTTGGTTTCCTATTCTACTTTTTTACATAAGTGATAAGCCTGAATATACAACTGAATCAAAAGGCATATTTTAAAACTTATTTATCCATGTATTTAAAACATAAAAAAATGATAACATGATATGTTAATTGTACGAACCGATTGTGAAAGTTGGCAGTGTAATTTTCATAATGGACCATTAGTCTATTCTACAAATTAAAGTACTAACAAAGTATTATTCATAACACATATTGAAAAAGTCATTAAATAATATACTCGATATGATAAATATCTAATTTTGGATCATAAAAGACGATATGTGACCTCGGTCATGACCTTAGGAAGCCTAAACCTATGTTATGCTTATCATCTTATTAATATACAAAAGAAGTTTCAATAAAATTATTGCATTGGATTGGACGAAACCAAGATAACAGAAAAAATAGCAAACGCTTGGACTAGTGATCATGTGCATTCAATTATACGCCCAATGTCGTTTAATATTTATATAGGAAAACAACATCTTATTACATTTGATTTCATTGTGAACAACTGTTCTATTGCAGGTGCATATATATATATATATATGACAGCTGAGTGTTGTCCGACAAAATTGCTTGAATTGCATTGAGGACAGCGCCTATGATACATTAATAATGTTCTCAATAAATAGAAGTTATTATTCAAGTTATTGTTACTACAATTATTTTTCTATTTTGTCAATGTTTTTTATGGATTTAAAAAAGCACCGATAGTGTATACCTTTCACTAGTGAAAGTGAATTGGTCTACAATGGAAGGTCTGTGATACAATAATTAATTACGTTGATAATATTTAGAATCAGACTTAACAAACCAAGTATGAATTATATACGGATGTTACTGGCAAGTATGCGGTACATGATCTGATATGTTATTGCGGTAATAAAATGCTCTAGAACAAAATATTAATTTCACTGTATGAATGTTCATACTAAATCACTTAGACCTTTTTCAGCATTTTCTTTCCCTTTTTTTAAATTACAATCCAATTGATACATTTCTGAGTTTGTGTTCATCAATATTTGAAATTCTTATGGAAAATATGTCTACGGTAGGCTAATCCATCACACAATAATTAAAAAAGGTCTCAATTTTTTATGAAAGCTCTAAGTTCATTGCGTCTATCTGGAATAGAAACAAAACGCGACAACCCCACCGGCTGCAATGTTTTGCATGTTTTAGGTTACAGTTTCCATTAAATTTAGCAGAATAAGCACTATGGTTGCGTAAATGTTTGGTGTTTCTTTATGTCAAGTTAGCATTCGTTTTTATCAAACATTTTACTTTCCGCTTAGAACATATGTACCATTATGTTATGTTAAGCAAGCATTCCCCATAAATAAATTTCATCTTTTTAAGTATTTCGCTTCGGAAGGAAAAAAATAAAATAACATTCCGCTATGTAAAGCGAGCGCGCTTATGTTAACATTT